TTTGTAGCGCACTCTTTTGTTGCCGTTGTACTGAGTGACCTTAAATTTACATTTAATAAATTCGGGTCCTATTACACAGTGAAATGTTGTACTAGGGAATGGAAGAAACCGCCACTTTGACCGGTACACTACGGCAATCCGACATAGCACACATGTACACATGCACGATCTCGAGCCCGAAGTCCTTTCGGCTGCTTGTCAGTGGTTAGTTGTGGGAGATTTAAAGCGCGGGTAGGTCACGTGCAGTATCGAAAGAATCGATACTCTTCGCTAGTATCGATATTTTTCGATCCCACCTCGGTATCGCTGGTATCGAATATTTGGTATCGGTATCAGCCCATCCCTACAAGAAAGCAATGGCTGCCTTCGTGGACAAAGTGCCTTGCTTGATGTGCCCGAAAGAAATTCGATGGCTATTACGCCCAATGTATGCACAAAGTCACACACAATTTGAGAGCAAATTGTGTGTGACTTTGTGTGTGACAATGGAGCAATTTGGGAACTGGTCGTTCCGCAAACTTAACAAGAGATCAATTCATGAGCGATCCTTTTATCGAGAAATATCAGGCGAAACCTGTTATATCAAACGAGTTAAGTCATATTATGTTTACATGTAAACGCAACCGTGCATTCTGACGTGATCGAGAACCCAGTAGAATACCAGAAGCTATTCTGAAACGTCTAAGAAGAAAGGGCAGAAAACTGAAGGAATTTGTTTATGAGCGTATTCGTCCGTGCATACCGAAGTCCTCTTGGCTACGTCGTTATGTGAAGGTTAGAAGAGTTACAAAGAATATTTGTAAGCTTAATACGAAGAGGGTAAGATTAAGTAAAGTTACAAAACATAATAAGAAGTATTTCTTAAATTGTTCAGTGGGTTATATTTAGTAAATAAACCCCTTCGGGCGACTGGTATGTTGGCTGATAATGTCCGCGGCTGAGAGACTGTCCGAAAAATGAATATTTGGCCGAGAAGCGAAGCTTCGAGGACAAGTATGAAATTTCGAGGACAATCTCTCAGTCAAGGACACTATCAGCCGACATACCAGGAAGCTAGAATTGGGTTTATTTATTTTATAACCCTCCCATTTTAACGTTCTTCCAGTCCTTTATTAACACACACCTCGGGTTCCGCGCCACGTCCTTATATACAACCTATCACGTGGTATGTCCATATATGGTGCAACACTACATCCCTCCCTCCCCCCTTTTTTTTTTACATACAAATTAACTCAAAAGAAAAAGCATCTTTGCAGCTCTTTGCATTTCTCTGTGTTTAGTAGAAGTCTGTTTTTCTTCGACCACCCCATTACTTGGTTCGTGGTATTTTGAGCTCCACTGGGGTGACCTTTCTTCACAACTTCTGAGGCCGTCGTGTCGTCGACGAATTTCCATAGGAAGGCGTTGGTGATCGCTAAATCGTCTATCATAGTCAAGAAAATCCAGGGACGTAATTTGGTACCTTGCAAGACACCAGATCGAACAGAGCCCCATTCCGATACGCACCCATCAGACATCTTAATTCTCTGATAACGGTATGACAGGAAATCAATTATCTAGTTGATGACGCTTGGTACTATGTCGAGTTGGCATAACTTATTGACGAGTATACAGCCATGGTCGATCAAGCCAAATGCCTTCTTATAGTCGAACATAAGTACCCTTGCTGTTGAGCCAGTCCCGTCAGTCCCGTTAGACCATTCATGGAACATCTCTAATAAGGCAAAGATTGTTGAAGACTTTGGTATTGCACCAAACTGAGCAGGATTCAATTGACTCAACACAGCTGGTTTCAAATGTTGGGTGACAATAAAGTCCTCTGCGACTTTAGAAATACTCGGTGTTAGGGAAATTGGTCTCAGATCTTTCTTAATGTCCTTTATTGGTTTATTTTTCGGTAATGGAGTGACGTACGTCTGCGCATTTCCATGATCTCGGTAGCTTTTGTTCCTTAGAGGAGGTATTTAGGATGGTTGACACAGGGTAGGCTAGAGACTCTACATACTCCTTAATAATCCAATTCGGAATGCAATCAGGTCCACCTGCTTTCGCTGCATTAAGATTAAAAAGGCACCTAAAGACACCATACTCCGTAGTAACTAGGAATTGTGGGTTCTGGTCTTCGAGAGGAAGCTTCGGAATCTTTCCTGGTAAAACGATACTCTTCCAGGACTCTAATAACGCTTGGTTTACACAATTGGCCATCTCGCACATGGGTAAACCTTCTAACTCTTCAATGTCCAGAAGAGGAATGTGGTTACTTGATGATTTTAGTGCTCCGCTAAACCTTTTTACCTCCTTCCACCAAGCTTTAGGGTCCTTTTCTTTCATTCCATCGACTTTGGATTCGTAGAAGATCGCTTTGCAATTTTTCCGCTTTCGGTTTACGGCATTTCTGTAGGTCTTAAACAGGATTGACTGAGGTCCGTGATCGTGAAAGGCTCGTTGTCTTTTAAGAGATTAGTGACTTCAGTTCACTCGTCATTCACGGGGCATCGGTGGTGTTGATTCGAACTCTTTTCAGGGGCATTAGAAGGTCCAAACCAGTACAAACAACAGATTGGAATGCCTGAAGGTATTCTTCACAGTTATTGAGTCTGCCAAAAAGTACACGCCAATCGATGCTAGCAAGATAGCGACTTAGCTCAGCTTTACCGCTGGGATGAGGATCGCGTTTAACGATGAATTTCGTTGTCTTCTCTGTCTTCTTCTTTGTCTTTGGAGAACATAGCACTGTATTGTGATCAGACAAACCAAACGGTGGATAGGACGAGGGATTATCATAGAATGCATGAAGGTTGGTTAGCATGAGATCAAGGATTGCGTTTTTCCTGGTTGTAACTTTGACAATTTGCTTCAGGCGAAAATGATTGAGTATGGGCTGAACATCAAGGCGATTAAAGTCTCTACAAACAATAAGAGCACAGTTTGGGTACTTGGATTCTGCCAAGGAGAGAGAGTTGAAAAGGTGATCTCG